CTTTCATCTTTCTCTTAACACTCGGGGTTAGACTATTGCCATGGACAGCTGCAGGGGGCACACTTGAGGTCTGTGTGAATGATGTTCTCCGTCCAAAGGCAGTATGGCTGCCCTCTCCCTGGCTGTGAGGTGGACCCTCAAGCTGGAGTTGATGTTGATGAACGGACAGAGATGACCTTCTAGCCTCTATGAAGAGGCTCTCCACTCCCACTGCACTTATGGGTCTCCTTGGTATAGCAGCTTGGCCTGCTCTGGACTGCCACGCTGGTACTCATAGATATTACAGCTGAAGATAATTTGTGGGAGCCAGCTTCATGGCACAGTGGGTTAAGCTGCCGCCTGCCATGCCTGTATCCCATATGAGCACAGGTTCGAGTCTCAGCTGCTCCACTTCCGATCCAACTCCCTGATAATGCACCGGGGAAAGCAGCAGCAGATGTCCCGAGTGCTTGGGCCCTAGCACACATGTGGGAGACCTGGGAGACCTATGGAGTTCCTGGCTTTTGGCTTCAGCCTGGCCTAGGCCTAGCCATTGCAGCCACTTGGGGAATGAACCAGCAGATGGAAGATCTCTCTCTCCCTCCCTCCCTCTCTCTAACTCTGCCTTTAAAATAAATATTTTGTCTTAAAAAAAATTTGTAAGTGCCAGCTTCTACTCTCCATCATTCCACCTATGGCCAGGAAATCAAATTTTATCATAACTCAAGTGTGCATGTAGTCAAATGGTTTCTAAAGTAAAAATTCTAAAACACTTTAAAATTTTTTTTCAGCAAAGAAATAGCATTTGATGAGGACTATAGACACATTTTAATATGGGATAAGACCTACAAAACTAAATGCATCTAGGACCAATGAAGTTTATAGGTAGGCGTGATCACACTTACTCCCCTCAAGCTGGAAATTTCAGAATCATCTTTGATCTTTTCCTGTTAATTTATTCATTATGTGAATTGTGTATGGCAATTACTTTCAGACAATATGGTCAAGATCGTGTTCAGAAGCATCTAGGTTTGTGTCCTAGTTCAGCCAGTAACTAAACAGTGTGGCTTATTTTTCTTAAAATGTAAGTATTGAGTTGTCAGCTTTATTTTTATTTGAAAGGTAGAGAGGGGCTAGCACTGTGGTATAGTGGACTAAGCCTCTGCCTGCATCCCGTATGATTGACAGTTCGTGTTATTACATTGGCCAGTTACATGGCCAATGAGCTACCATGAGTACAATGACAGTTACAATGAGTCAATCAGGCCTATGCAATGCAGCTTCAATAAAAACTCTGGACACCAAATTTCTATAGAGCTCTGGCTGGTGAATATACCCACGTGTTTGAGGGGAGGTCCCGGTGGTCTGATTCCATGGAGAGAGGACACGGATGCAATGCACTCAGAATCCTCTCAGAATTCACACCTGCCTGCCTTTGTTCAGCTGGGCCTAAGTATTTTTATAATCCTTTATAATAAAGCCATATATAATAAAACTAGAATGGTAAATACAGTGCTTTGTTGAGTTCTGTGAGTCACTCTAGTAACCTGTTGTACTTAAAAGGAGCCATGCAAACCCTGGAATTTGCAGCCAGTTGGTCAGAAGTGCAAGTGGCCAGGGGGCTTCCAAAGTGCAGTGAGGACAGTCTTATTGGGGACCATGCCCTTAAAGTCATAGAGTCTGATGCTAATGTAGAGGAAATAAAGCCGGCCATAACCACAGACAAAGAAAGAAAAGTGCACCCCCTCCCCCAACACAAACCTTGAAAAGTGGCTGCCCGCAGTTAACTAGTGAACAGCTGCCCCTGTTATCTTGTCTAGGGAGCGAAGACGTCCTAAGTTCTGCTTCTGTAAACTCCAGTCATAAATCTGTCCTAATAAACCTGCCCCGGTATCTCTTTTACAAACATACTGGACCCACCAACCATTGGAAGTGTGGTCCTAAGTCACGTGACTTGCAATTTAAACCCACCAATGCTGTAACAGCTAAGGTATGATGCTGATGAACCGATAAATACTGTAAGAAACTTGGGATCGTTACTCAGGTCTCAGGAAATGATTCCAGCTGAGCCCCCTGGCGTTAATAAACTGCTCCTATCCTCCACTGTGTCTGGTGGCTGTTTGAACAAAGGAGTCTTCCCACTCCAGGTTTCTGTGACACTAACTCTAGGTGTTGTCTCAGAATTACATTACATTTCCCTATACCACTTTGTGTTATAATACTACTGCAGATTGTAAAGGATTAAGTAAGAAAACATACACAAGTCTCAATAATTAACAGTGACTTCTTCATAGGGCTAGAAAGATTAAATAAGATAAAATGCTGAAGCACTTAGTATATGTACAATACCTGAGACTTAGCATATGTACAATACTTAATCCAGCTCCCTGCTAATGGCCTGGGGAAGCAGTAGAAGATGGCCCACTTAAGTGCTTGGGCCCCTGCACTCACATGGGAAACCTGGAAGAAGCTCCAGGATCCTGGCTTCAGCCTGGCCCAGTGCTGACCATTGCAGCCATTTGGGGAGTGAACCAGCAGATGGAAGATTTCTCTCTCTCTCTCTCTCTCTCTGTAACTCTGCCTATCAAATAAATAAATATTTTTTAAGAAGCAAAAACTAAAGACATGAAGCAAAATTTTGGCCTCATGGTGAAGCAGCTGGTTGGGTCTCCCATACTGAGTGCCTGGGTTTGAGTTCTGGTTCTGCTCCTGATTGCAGCTTTCTGCTAAACTTAAGTGTACCCTGGGAATGGTACCTGGAAAGTGTACCTGGTTATGGCCTGAGTACTTGAGTCCCTGCCACCACATGGGAGACCTGGACTGAGTACCTGGCTCCAGGCACAGCCCCAGCCATTGTAGGCATTTGCAGGGAGTGAACCAGCAAATGGGAGCTTTGTCTCTGTCTCTCAAAACTAAACATGCAACTACCATATGATCCAGCAGATGCACTCCTGGGCATTTATTCTAGAGAAGTGAAAACTATGTTCACATTAAAAACGTGTACACAAATAGTTGTAGCTCCTTATTCAGAACACCTAAAAACTGGAAACAACCCACAGTAAATAAACAAATGGAGATACATCCATACCATGAAATACAACTCATCAACAAAAAGAAATAAATTATTATTTTTTATTTGTTTGACAGGTAGAGTTATAGACAGTGTGAGAGAGAGACAGAGAGAAAGGTCTTCCTTCTGTTGGTTCACTCCCCAAATGGCCGCCATGGCCGGCGCTGTGCCGATCGGAAGCCAGGAGCCAGGTGCTTCTTCCTGGTCTCCCATGCGGGTACAGGGGCCCAAGCACTTGGGCCATCCTCCACTGCCTTCCCGGGCCACAGCAGAGAGCTGTACTGGAAGAGGAGCAACCAGGATTAGAACCCGGCGCTCATATGGGATGCCGGCACCCCAGGCAGAGGATTAACCAAGTGAGCCACGGCACCGGCCCCAAGAAATGAATTATTGATATATGCAACAACCTGGATGAGTCTCCAGAGAATTTTTTAAAAGATTTATTTATTTGAAATGCAGAATTAGAGAGAGGCAGAGGCACAGAGAGAGGTTTTGCATCCACTGGTTCACTCCCCAGATGGCCAAAACAGCCAGAGCTGTGACAATCTGAAGCCAGGAGCCAGGAGCTTTTCCTGGGTTTCCCACGTGGGTGCAGGAGCTCAAGGACTTGGGCCATCTTCTACTGCTTTCCCAGGCCATAACAGAGAGCTGGATCAGAAGTGGAGCAGCTGGGACTAGAACCGGCGCCCACATGGGATGCCAGCACTGCAGGCAGTGGCTTCACCCACTACACCACAGCGCCAGCCCCCAGAGAACTATATTAGGTGAAACAATGTAAATACCAAAATATTACATCCTATATGATTCTATTTCTGCAACAAATTAGTTTTGCCAAAAGTCTAGCAGTGTAGCTAAAAAAAAAAAAAAAAAAAAAAAAAAAAAAAAAAAAAGCCACAATGTGAGATGCTTGTTGTGATGGGAAAGAAGTGTATCTTAACTATCAAGGTCAGTATCCTTGCTGTGATCATTGAGGTAAGCTGGGTAAAGGGTACAACACAACCTCTTTGTATAATACCCTCACCAGCATGGAAGTCTACAATTTTCTCCAATAAGCTTAATTAAAATATTACAGGTGTGGTTTCTCTCTCTTACCTGAACTCAGATGATTTGAAAGCTTCACCAGATTGAAAAATTTCTCGTCTACTCCTAGTTTGAATGTTTGAGTCAGAATAAGTGTTGAATTTTGCCATTTTTCTGCGTTTATTGAAAATTAACATTTTTTAATTTATAATACGAATTGTTTTACTTTAGAATGTTAAACCAATCTTGCATTCCTGAGATAAACAATACTTCCTCATGATGTATTAATCCTTGTATACATTGTTGAATTCATTTTGTTTAGGATTTTTATGTCCAGACGCCGACAGGAACAACCAATGGCATTTGTCTCTTGTGTAGCCTCCCAAATGCATTTCATGCATATATACAATCAAGCATTTTATCAGTCAAGATCCACAATTGTTTTCCACCACTTACAAAACTGCCAGCATACTATTTTCGCTACTTCCCACCTGGCTTTTTTCCTATAGCATTTTATTTCCTTAAAAATCAGCAAAGTCGGTAAAATATAAAACTGGAAAAAGCTGATGGTAAGGAGACAGCAATCCGTCACACGCAGCTCTATACTTTGGCTTGCGCCTTTGTCCTTTCCGCTGAACAACCCTGGGTTCCTGGACGCAAGACAGATTCCGCGCATGTAACCGGGCTCTGCCCGCTACTGTGGAGGGCGACCAACGCACGGCTGGTCCTCATCGCGGGAATCCAGCTCGCTCTGGACCACAGCTCAGAGGATGCTGCGGTTCGGATCCCGCCACCCACCCAGGACCCAGCCGAGGGTCTCGGGGCCACCCCGCTAGGCCCCGGCCCTGCCCGAGCCCTCGGGGGACGGCGGCCCGGGGCGTGCCCCCGAGTCCCCGCCCCTCCCACCGCCCCCAGGCCCGCACAAGGGGGCGGGGCCGTGCGGACGCCGCAGCGGGCGCGATGCCACGGCCCGCGGTGCGGCTGCTGTGGCTGGGCCGCCTGCACTATGGCGAGCTGCTGGCGCTCCAGGAGCGCTGGCTGCGGCGGCTGCAGGCCGAGTCAGGCCCCCAGGCCCCGTCGGGAACGGAGGCGGGCGCGCTCCTGCTCTGCGAGCCCGCGGGGCCCGTGTACACGGCCGGGCTGCGCGGCGGCCTGACGCCCGAGGAAGCTGCGCGGCTGCGGGCCCTGGGCGCCGAGGTGCGCGCCACAGGCCGCGGCGGCCTCGCCACCTTCCACGGCCCGGGCCAGCTGCTGTGCCACCCGCTGCTGGACCTGCGGCGCCTCGGCCTGCGCCTGCGCATCCATGTGGCGGCGCTGGAGGCGTGCGCCGTGCGCCTGTGTGAGCTGCAGGGCCTGCGGGGCGCCCGCGCGCGGCCCCCGCCCTACACTGGCGTCTGGCTTGGGGAGCGCAAGATCTGCGCCATCGGTGAGCGCCAGGGGCGGGGCCTTGAGGGGCGGGGCCAATGAAGGCGCGAGGAGGGCTGGGGCAGGAGCAGGTGTATCAGCCGCGTGCTTTGAACCCCAGGCACCCGCTGCGCTGAGAATCTTACTATATTAAGAGGCAGAAGCGTCCTTGGAGGTCATTTTAGCCCCACAGAGTCGTTATGAACAGAGACACGGGAAGTGACTTGCCCAGTTGCTTCCTATGAGTCACAGTGGGACATGAAGGGGAACTAATTCTCAATTTTTTTAAAAGATTTATTTTATTTATTTGAAAAACAGAGTTAGAGAGAGGGGTAGAGATAGAGAGAGAGGTCTTCCGTCCACTGGTTCACTCCCCAGATGACTGCAATGGCCGGAGCTGCGCTGATCAGAAGCCAGGAACCAGGAGCTTCTCCAGGTCTCCCATGCAGGTGCAGGGGCCCAAGGACTTGGGCCATCTTCTACTGCTATCCCAGGCCATAGCAGAGAGCTGGGTTGGAAGAGGAACAGCTGGGACTAGAACCAGTACCCATATGGGATTCCAGTGCTTCAGGCCAGGGCTTTAACCTGCTGTGCCACAGCGACAGCCCCACTAATTCTCAGTTTTTCAAAATGCCACGGCATCTCTGTGTTAAGGGACATTCCTGAAGTTACCATAAGTGCTGCTGCAGTGGAGACACACACCCCTACTGTCTTGTTTGTTCAGTTCCCTGAATCTATCTGCACAATCCCTTGACGCCCCAAGAAACAAAATTGGGGCTCCGGTGGCCTAGTCCGGTTCTCTCATTGCACTGCCAAGGATCCGGAAGCCCGGGGAGGGCACGGTGGGGGAGGTATGGATCCCAAGACCCTTTGGCTTGCCTTGCAGGAGTCCGCTGTGGAAGGCACATCACGTCGCACGGTCTGGCTCTGAACTGCGCTACCGACCTCACGTGGTTTGAGCACATTGTGCCGTGTGGACTGGTTGGCACAGGTGTCACTTCGCTGAGTCAGGAGCTCCAGAGGCACGTCTCCGTGGAGGAAGCGATGCCGCCTTTCCTGGAGGCCTTTCAGGAGACCTACAAGTGCACACTGATCTCAGAGGACAGCTCCAGCTGACGGACATCCACGCACCACACAGAGGAGCGCCTCGCCTTAGAAAGCACCACGGCTGGCTGAGTCCCTGGCACCCAGCTTTGAGAGCCGGCCTGGTACTGGTCATGCAACTAAGCACAGATAGGTGCTCGGAGCGACGGTTGCGTGTATATCCTGGTTTAGCTGTAGCTTCCCTACCTACCTCAGAGGTAACAGACGTGGAAACGCTATGAGAAGCATCGGGTGCTGTATAAAATAGCGCTGCTGACACCAGTTCCTCTGTTCAGAGAAATTTGGACGTCACCGATGGTCATTCATGAAGTATTTGTTACTTTCTCAATGTGGTCTCTAAGTGGGCAATCCCGGCCCTGATACAGTGGGAATCGGATCTGTGGGTGCTCTAGGTGAAGGTGATATGATGCTGTGCTTCTTCATTCTCAAGAGACCTGGGTGCCCTGTGCATGCAGTAAAGGGAATATCCATTTCAAAGAATAAAATGAGATGTTGCCCTCCTGGCTTGGATTCCCCAAGGTTGATGATTTAACTGTTTTTAGTCGGGGTGAGCTTGAGCTAGGCCAGAGGCTGGGAGAAGACCAAGAATAATTCCTCACACTGTACAGATGTCAAAGACAGAAGTGAGTGTTGTATGAGATCACTGCGTTTATGAGACTGAGTATTAGCGATGGCTGTGTGACAAATCACCACAGCCTGGAGACTTCACGGTAAACATCTATCGCCTCATTTTTGTACGGGTGGGTCTGGAATTTGGGAGAAGCTTAGCTGAGTGTTTCTGGGTCAGGGTCTCCCGGTGAACTTGGGAGTCAGGATGTCAGGGCCCCTGTCACCTGCAGGACTGATGCGGGAGGAGGACCAGCTTCTGCCATAGTTCACTCACTTCCTGATCTGTCCTACGTGTTGACCTCAGTTGTTTCACGCATGGACCTCTCCATAGGGCTGCTTGAAGTTGTCAGGACAGGAGAACTGGTTTCCCCAGGGTGAGTCACAGGGCAGCTATGGCGTCACACAGTCATTTCTGCAGTCTCCCAGGAGATGAGCCCTATGCAGGTAGAAGGGGCAGGAGCCGGGGGTCCTGGGTGGTTGTGTTGGAGACTGGCCTCCGCAGCCTGTCTGGTGTGCAAAGAGGCTTGAACAAGATGTCAGAGGAACTGGTTCCAGTGCTGGCTCTGCAGAACCATCATCCTCACCCTGGGCTTCCGCCTACCCTTTGACCCGTGCTATTCAATAGTAGTAGAATGCCAGCCACGTTGTAATTTGATATTGGCTAGGAGCCAAGCTAAGGAGGTAAGGAGAAATTGGTAGTGTTAGTTTTAATATATTTTAATTAGCCCAATATATTAAAAAGCATCAATATCAATGTATTATTGAAATATTTCGCATTTTTATACTAAGTCTCCGAAATATGGTATTTATTTCATGCTTATAGCATTACTCATTTTGTTCTCGCCATAGTTTATTTCACTTTTTTTAAGGCAGAGTGCAGAGAGAAATAGATGTTCCATCCTCTGGTTCACTCCCCAGATGCTTGCAACAGCCAAGACTGAGCCAGGCCAAAGCCAGGAGCCCAGAACTCCACCAGGGTCTCACACATGGGCATTAGGGACTCCAGTAATTGAGCTATCACCTGCTGCCTCCCAGGGTGTGCTTTAGCAGGAAGTAGAGTGGGGTCTCGGACCCAGTACTCGTATAGGCAATGTGGGTATCTTAACTACTGCACCAAATGCCTGCCTTCGTTTCCTTCCTCCCTTCCTCCCTTCCTCTCTCTCTCTCTCTCTCTCTCTCTCTCTCTCTCTCTCTTTCTTTCTTTCTCTTTCGAAAGGCAGAGTTACAGAGAAGCAGAGGCAGAGAGAGAGAGAGAGGTCTTCCATCTGCTGGTTCACTCCCCAAATGGCCACAACAGCTGAAGCTGGGCTAATCCAAAGCCAGAGCCAGGAGTTTCTTCCTGGTCTCCCATGTGGGCACAGGGGCCCAAGGACCTGGACCATCTTCCACTGCTTTCCCAGGCCATAGCAGAGAGCTGGATTGAAAGTGGAGCAGCCAGGACTTGAACCAGTGCCCATATGGGATGCCAGCACTGCAAGTGGTGGCTTTACAGGCCGTGCCACAGCGCTGGCCCCTGCCCTCATTTTCTAGCCACATTTTGAGGCACCTGTTGGTCACTTGGGGGTAGTGCTCCACTTCAACAATTTCTATAGGTAAAATCCTTTTACACTGACAGGGTTTTGTGGCCTCATTGGCTTCTAGAAAGGAAGGCAATCCTTTCACATCTGAGGTCTGATTGTGTTTTTTGTTTGTTTTTTTAGGTTTATTTATTTATTTATTTGAAAGGCAGAGTTACAGAGGGAAAGGAAGAGAGAGAGAAAGAGAAATTCCATCCCCTGGTTTATTCCCCCAAATATCCACAATACCCACATATACCCACAGCAGCTGGGGCTGGGCCAGGCTGAAGCCAGGAGCTCAGAACTCCATCTGGTCTCCCACATGGAGGGCAGTAGCCCAAGCACTTGGACCGTCTTCTGCTGCCTTGCCTGGTGCATGAGCAGGGAGCTGGATTGGAAGCTGAATAGCTGGGACTCGAACTGGTGCTGCAGTATGGGATGGTGCTGTTGCAGGTGGCAGACTCATCTGCTGCACCACCACATCAGACCCTGAGGTCTGGTTTCTAGAGTGCAAAGATTTTATAGCAGTTGTTCAAACTAATAAAGAATTTGTGGGATCTTCTACCCGCTTACTGTATAGTGATGGAGCCCAGGGGCCGGACAAATCTTTTCCAGGTCACACAGTAAACTGATGAGAAAGCCAGGACGAGGTCTTGGGTGTAAGCCCCTTTCTCATCCTCTTTACCTGCAGTGCGCACTGACTTGGGTCAATATGCTTTGTCATAGACACTCGGTCAGTATTAGTGCTTTGATGGCTCGTCCACCCACAGTTGGCCCTCATGTTTCCAGGCCTTGTTTGCTGCCTGCGGGGCCACTGCAGCTGTTAGAAGGGTTGGGAGAATGGCTGGCGCCGCGGCTCACTAGGCTAATCCTCTGCCTTGCGGCGCCAGCACACGGGGTGTGGGGAGCAACTGGGACTAGACTAAGTTACTGGAATTAAGACTTATTCTATGCATCTGCTCTCCCACAATATGGCGCTGGGAGAGGAGCAAACAGCTTCTACCCAGCTGCCTTTCACCAACTTGACAAGCTGCAGGACCTGCTCCTGATTGGAGGAGAGCAGCGTACTCGGCGTGTGGGCAGCCGAGCACGGATTGGTGGAAGAGGACTATAAAGGAGGAGAGAGACAACATGCACCAGGAACATCTAAGGGGAACATCTACCTGAAGGAACACCTGTGCAGCCCCCGAGAGAGCCGGCCGGCGGTGTGCCGCTCCCCCGGAAGTGGGGAAAAGTGGCCAGGGGGAACCGCCCTTCCACGGAGGTGGAAGGGACGGTAGCCAACCCGGGAAGAACCAGCAGCAAACCCGGGGAGGGCCGAGTAGACAAAAGAACAGCGCAGGGTCCTGTGTCGTTCCTCCACGAAGACGGGGAGCGACAACGGGGTTCTAGTCCCCGTCGGGGCGCCGGATTCTGTCCCGCTTGCCCCTCTTCCAGGCCAGCTCTCTGCTGTGGCCCGGGAGTGCAGTGGAGGATGGCCCAAGTGCTTGGGCCCTGCACCCCATGGGAGACCAGGAGAAGCACCTGGCTCCTGGCTTCGGATCAGCACGGTGCGCCGGCCGCAGCGCACCGGCCACGGCGGCCATTGGAGGGTGAACCAACGGCAAAAAGGAAGACCTTTCTCTCTGTCTCTCTCTCTCACTGTCTACTCTGCCTGTCAAAAAAAAAAAAAAAAAAAAGGGTTGGGAGAGAGGATTGGACAATCATGACCTTGCAATGTTACTTGCAAATGTTACCACCAGAAAAGGAGATAATTCTTCCAGGAGGTCAGGCACAGGGTCTCTCCCCTGGTGCCCCTCAGCCTCCCTCGCCCGCAGTCCTAACACGTGACCGCCCCACTCTGTCTCCAGTGCCCCAGGAGCCTGGGAAAGAAACGCTGACTCAGCACTTACTTAGCATGTCAGGTACAGCCTTGGCTCTCTCACCTCCCTCCCTGTTCTGGATGCAAGCATCGTTCTGCCTGGTGTAGGGGCTGAGGGCCTGGCCCTTCTGAGCCTCAGCCTTATTTCATGGAGCAAGGGAGCCTTCATGTCCACCTCGGAGCGGGGTGAGGAGTAAGTAACCCGGGTCAGTGTTTGGCCTCATGGTTAAGAGGCCGAGTGCCACATCAGAGTGCTTGTGTTCAATTCCCAGCTCTGGCTCCCAATTCCAGCTTCCTGCCAGTGCAGCGCCTGGGAGGCAGCAGTTCCTGCCACCCACGTGGGAGACCTGGAGTGTGTTCCTGGCTCCTGGCTCTAGCCCTGCCCACCCGTAACCATGTGAGTATTGGGGGAGTGAAGTAAGGGATAGGAGCCCTCTTTTTCTCTCTGTCTGTCTCTCTGCTATCCAAGAAAAAAGAATGAAAATGCTTAGCTGCTGGTAAAGCACTGCATGTAGTGCTGGCCCAGGGTGCATGCTCAGGCAGTGTTATCATTCTTACAGCCTGTCCTCCGTGAGCCTTCTTCAGGGACCTAAGCCCCAGATCTTTCACTTCCCCACAAGGCGGCAGCTCCGTGGGAGTAGAACCGGGTCTGTCTGGTTTCCTTCTGTGTTTCCAGCACTGGGTCTGACATAGAGAAGGCTTTTGGCAGTGTTAAGTCGAAATGAACTATTTAGGGACTGGCACTGTAGCATAAAAGGTTGAACTGCAGCCTGCGAAGCCAGCATCCCATATGGGCACTGCTTTGAGTCTTGGCTGCTCCACTTCGATTCAGCTCCCTGCTAATGGCCTGGGAAGGCAGCGGAAGATGGCCCAAGTACTTGGGCCCCTGCCCCCACGTGGGAGACCTGGAAGAAGCTCCTGGCTCCTGGCTTCTGTCTGGCCCAGCCCTGACTGTTGCGGCCATCTGGGGAGTGAACCAGCGGATGGAAGATCTCTCTCTCTCTCTCTCTCTCTCTCTTGCCCCTTCTCCCTGTAACTCTGACTTTCAAATAGAGAAATAAATCTTTAAAAAAATTATATCCTCCAATTGGTCTCCTCTCCCTGCCGGCCCACTTGCCAACACCAGCTTTGTGGCCCTCAGAGGCAGTTGAGTTGGTGGCCACTGATCTACACACAGCCTCGTTCTGAGAGGACCCCTCTGTCATGGCACCAACAGGTGCAAAAAATGTGCCACATCACAACTCACCAGGGAAATGCAAATCCAAACCACAGGGGGACACCGCCACACTCCAGTAAGATGGCTCTTCTCAAAAAGACAAATGATGGCCGGCGCCGTGGCTCACTTGGTTAATCCTCTGCCTGTGGTGCCAGCATCCCATATGGGTGCCGGATTCTGTCCCAGTTGCTCCTCTTCCAGTCCAGCTCTCTGCTGTGGCCTGGGAAGGCAGTAGAGGATGGCCCAAGTGCTTAGGCCCCTG